TGAATGAAATTTGCTGAACCATCATTGACAATTACAAATGTTCAAAACATTTCCTTAAACTTCTTTGATGTTCTTTGTGACTACAGAGACGTTGTTTTCCTTCTTGTATTCAAACAGCATTATATGCCAAATGTGTGTCTTGCCATGTGTCACCACTATAATGGATTAGAGTATACTAAACTTTACACATTATATAGGCTACACTAACATGATGTTTAGGCAGTTTGTTTAACTATATTACGTGGTGTAAGGTTTTTGGGGGGTGGTTAATGAAAGTGTTCCAAAAAGCGACATTAATTTCTTGACAATCTAATACAAACATTTTACTTGTAACAAGTAAGTTCAAATATATGTGATGTTATGACAAAATGAGTTAATTTTAAAACAAGGTGCATAAAATTTATTATACTGAAAATAAAAAGTAGTTCACTAGCAATTTGGTAAAATATACAAGTTATGCAAACTATTTGACTTAACATTCTAGGTTGCATTATTGAAATATTTTTCAGGAATAAATACTAAATGTTCTGATAGAACATATTCCTTTGGAACACATTAATGTGTTATAAAAATGAAAATACAACACATTTTGTTTATCTGCTATTTGTTTCGTGTCTGTGGATGTTTTTATTTGGGCTTAAAGCACTTAACACATTTACATGAGGTACAGAGGGTTGAGTATATTTCATTAAAATTATTTTTGAAGCCTTATCAAATAGTTACAGTCTATGTTGCAAAGTCTAGTCATGCTGTATCTGATGACTATGCATCTTGCCAATAGCCTTGCAGTATAGCATCCATTAAAAATGGCTCCATCATAAGGCTATCATGTTCAAAGCATACCACTCATTCCTATATATTTGTTCATAATCCATTTATTAACATGTGAGGATGATGTATTTGTTGCATGTGTATTAATAGTTTGATCACACAGAAATACATGACTTTGCATATGGTGACATAACTGGCATGTATTCATATGAAATAATAGTATTAATATCTGCTTCATTATCCTGTTACTTTAGATATGTAATGATTGGAAGTGAGGTATGATTGGAAGCCATATCTTGGTGAACCCATACTCTGTCTTGTTTCTGTGCAAAGCCTTTGTTTCTTTTGGTACAAAGGATTTAGAACATTCGTGTTGTAGTAAACAGAGTCCTCCTTGCTTTTTGTACAGTATACAGATGTAGATCTATCTTGATTATGTTGCTTACTGTTATCTAAACAATGAATAGCTATTACCACTGACATTTGTGATTGTGAATTCTCACCTGTTACAAGATGTCATGCACTGACTACCATGCTGCAAGACTTTTTCTGGATGGTTCTGGTGGCCCAAGTTGATCCATATTCCTTTTTTTTTTTTTTCAATACCAATGGATATCTTGTCTAGAAAATTCAGAATTCTCAACCTAAACATGCCCTTATGATCTGAGTATATTAATATTTTACTTTGTAAAGGGTTGTTACATATCTTTCTCATGGCCTAGCATGGGCAGATGGTAAGGGTGCTCGACTTGCAATCTGGGGGTGTTGGGTTCAGATCCCTATCCCACTAAGCATGCTCACCCTTTCAGCTGTTGGAGTGTTATAATGTGACAGTTAATCACACTATTCATTGGTAAAACAGTAGCCCAAGAGTTGGTGGTGGGTGGTGATGACTAGCTACCTTCTCTCTAGTCTTTCACTGCTAAATTAGGGACGGTTAGCTTTGTACAAAATTCAAACCAAACCAAGATCTTTCTACCTATCTTTCCCAAGAGTGATCAATATCTGGTATTTTCACACCTATGAAATGCCAAGCAATGTCTAAATATAGTTCTGATACACTATTCCACTGTGACTTTATACCAGCTGGGTTTGTCATATAACTTGCTCACTATTATATTCATCAGTGCTTTAATATAATTTATTCAACCAAATGTATCGTCACTGCATGACCCTTTCTTCCACGGTGGTCTTCTGCACCTTTCAATTAATTTTTTTGGGGGGAGGGGCAGGATATCATAGGGAAATGTAAATATTTATCTTGTATTTGTGTACGTTGTGGTTTTTGAAATATATTGACATGACAGGACACCCAGAAATGCCAAAACATGAGCAACTAGTGTAACCGGTATTAAATAGTAATGAACATTGTAAGATTAATTTTTTTTTTTTATGATTCACAACTCAGCATGTGCATTATATGTTTGTTTCAAAGATAGGAGTTATAATGTTTATATATAAGAATAGTTGTAGATTTAAATTCAATGTGTTAATAGTTTTTCAAAAGCTTACAGCCTAAAAAGAACTGTTGACATTTTGTGCTTATATTTTTGTTTTATTTTGATAAATCATATAATCTCTAATTTATTTTTAAAGACTGTTAAATTTTCTTTTTAGGATTCAATCATCCATGCTCTAAGAGCTGAAAAACAGCGATATCCAAGTCATTTCTGGAGAGTGTGATGAATTGTTTCATGTTACAAGTCACTTGAGGCAAATGTGACAAATGCTATATGTTGCAAGTCATTTGTGATAAGAGTGTCAAGTAACACTGCTTATCATGAAATACATTCTTCCCTATTGAAAGAAAAAGAAATTCTAGACATCCCTTCTGATATAAAATAGGAGGCCATTAGGAAGCGCAGACTTGGCAGAAGGTGATGAGAACAAGTTAAGTAAGACTAAGTAAGAAAATCATCATGGTCTTTCTGCAACAGAGTCAGTGCTGCTGTTAAAAAAAATTGTAATGGTTAAAGGTATTAGTTAGGCATTGTCATGTTAAGAACATGATTAGTGGATTAAGAGAATGTGTTTATTTTGAATATACTCTGGCTATGGATATGTATCATTTACAAAACTAAACATTTATAGCAGCATAATTTTTCAGTTAATTAAATAACTTAAAACATGTTTGAATGTATGATTTATATTTCAGGTATTTAAGGCAACACATGATCCAACATTTTAAAATCATATGTATAGCTTCTCAACCTTCTAAGAAGGGTGTAATGTTTTTTTGTTTTTTTTTATAAGTTTTTATACAGAATATAATAAAGTAGTTGTCAGCAGGAGTGTCTTGGCCACATAGAAAAGAATTGTTTTTCTTTGGTGGGAGTCAGACACAACAAAAGTTAACACTAGTGTCCAGCTTAACAGATAAAAGCATTGTACATAGTGTAAAATATGTACACAGATTGTGTATATTTAAGACTGTGTGTACAGAAAAATGCCCTGTACAGAATGTATGGCAAATAAGTATGTGTCACAAGTGAAACCTGATGCTGTTGATAGTTCCTTTACCTTCAGAAAAGCATATTCTTTTTGGCTTGGTCCAAGACTCTTATCACTCTACTAAAAGTTGAATTTCAGGAAATGTAGTCTGTATATTCATTTTTATTTATATTGGTTCTTTTGAAAAGGAAATAAAAAGTAGTATTTACTTACTTATTTTACCATCCACACAAACATCTATTTTCTGGTGTTATTCTTTTCAAGTCCAGTTAAGAGTTTATAGTATGTCAAACATTCACAATCTCTTGTACTTGGAAGGTCTTCGGCTAAATTAGATTGTAAGTTGCTAAAATGTTTTTTGTGGGATCTTTAAAAACAGGGAGGTTAATTGTATATTACTAAATGTGGATATGATAATTTTCAAGTCTTTAACCTTAACTGTATAAAACCTAACACATTTTACAGGCATATTTATCATTGGAATAAATGTGTGACAGACACTGTGCATGTTTATACTTCTAAAAATTCAGCTTTATTAGATGATCTTGATGGTCTCGGTTTTACGTGGAGCATTTAAGGTAGCAAAGTAGAATTACCCATATGTTCTTTAATTATTTGTATTTTTAAATATTTTAAATTGTAAAAAATCAGATAGGCCTTTGGCATAACTCACAGCTTGTGGTTCTTCAAAGGTTTTTATATACTTGGTCCTCTTAGCAGAAGTTATTGTGAATTTTTCTTTCATCATTTGTCTGGAAAGAATTTGCATTTTGAGACTTTTGGGGCTGAAAAAAGTTTTATTCTTTTAGGTTTGGGCTCTTTCTTTGCTATATTTTTGAGTTTGACTCAGTATGTAGTTTTTTTTGAAAAGCAAGTGACTACTTCACATAGAAGGAAGAAAAGAAAGTAGAATCAGTATTATATGTACTGGTAAAAACACAAACTTCTAAGGTTTCTTCCAAATTTTACTCTGTTAGGCTAGTTTTTAAATTGTTTGGTATACATTAATTTGAAGAAAACGTGTGCTGCCATGGAGAGTTTTATATGCTTTAAGAAAGCATCTGAAAATTAAAGTAGTTTAAATAGTACAGATGGAATATTCCTTTTGTTGGTGAAACTTTGAATTGAAATGTTTTTTATTTATTTAAATAACATGTTTTAGAAGATCTTCACTAAAGTTAGATTTGTGTTTCCCATATTTAAAATTATTGTTACTTGCCACACTATTATTACTAACTGAAAGAACAACAACTTTTTTTTCAATTTTAGTAGGTGAGTGTATTAAAAGTTAACAGCAGTACTACAGTATGAAGTTTTGTAGTCCCATCTGTAACTGTACTGTGATTATAAATAGAATGCATTGTAATTAATTTTCTTGTTTCTAATGTATTGTTATTGATAGATCATGAGTGTGTGCTATGCAGTGTTGTAGATATTGTGGACTGTTGTACAGGTGATGGGGATCTTGCTGGACATACCCCATCTGAGAATTTGTACAACTGTTTAGTTAAGTGCATTCTAACTTTTGAAATATGGGGTTACTTAAGCATGTTTGACTGTTTAGATGTTTTTCAAATGGTTTGTAATCTGAGTGTCTGCTGCTGTAGAATGAATTATCTTTCTCGTATTTGTATTTCTTTATCATGTAGAATGCACAAGTTAAATGTTACTTAATTTGAATTGAAAGAATGGGTTCTAAATTCTTCTGCTTGTTTGATAATCTTTGGTTTCATAATTAAAATGTAGACTGTGCTTAGTCCTCACAAGGAGTTTTGGTGTTACAAATACACATCTAGATCAGAAGACTAAAAGTATTTCTGATTTAATTTGTAAAATAAAGAATCTTGAAAAAAAAAAAGATTGAAAGAAGTCTTGGAGCTGTCTTTCTCATACTTAGTTCATTATTGAATTTATTAGTTAAATCACAAGTGATTTTTTTTTAAATAGGTAAATTCAAGTTTGTTAAAAAATAATGACAAAACTTGCTTATCTTCTTGGCTTAAGAAGATAATCTAGAATAATATACACAATATTATATGGCATTTGTTTAAACTATGTGAAGTTTTTAGATTTAAAATGGTTTAGCATGTAATTAAAACTATATGATTCTTAAACATGTTTTGTGCTATTATGAAACATATTTATGATACATTAGCTTGTATGAAGATGCATATTTTCCAGTGCAATAGAGCAGGATTTCCTCTAAAGGATCTTAATATTCATGTGTAGTATAATTCATCACATTTTTATTTTAGTATTGACTAATTAAATGCACACACTATTTCTGTTTTGAAATACAAAATTCATTTTGAATTGTAACAGTGAAATTATTTAAGTAAATTTGTATTGCTTCAGGTGATGTTAATAAGCTTGGTCACTCTGATTTGTTTTATTATATTTAACACAGATGTTTTTATGTTGGCAAATCTCATTACTAAGTTTTTGCATTACATCTGAAATAGAGTGTTTTGAGAATGATACAAAAATTTGTTCCAATAGGAGGAAGAGCTGATTTGAAACTTAAATCTGTATCTTCTACCATGTTCAAATACATAGTCTAGAATGTCATCCTGACATTACTCTGATGTAGTATAATACATTTCTGTGGCTTACTAAGGAAGGAAATGACAGAAGTTGTTATACATTTTTCAGGAACATTTTATTGTCTGTTAAGTTACCCCTGTTATAATAATTTCTTTTGCAGGAAGTTTAATAATAAAAAAGGTACACCATCTGTAATTGACATTATAGAAAAAAAACTTACCATAAATCCTAATAACAGATATAATGAAACTATTTCTGCCACTTTCATGTAATGAAAAACAAATGGCTAAAATATAACTATTTTTGGTGTGATAGATCATGAAAATGCTAATGAATAAAATCTGTTTTTTTAAAGTTATAAGCTTAAATTTAAAGCACAACAAACTATTAACATATTTTACATTTATTAGAATCTTTATACCATTATTTTTTCAACAATACTCTGGACCTTCTACAGTGATAATTTAATTAAATTAAACCTGGTTTTAAAGGAATCTGTGCTTACCTTACTCATTGTAGTACTTCTTGCTTTCATCGCAGTGAATGCTTAATGTTGTATAGATATTGTGTTAATAAAAACATTGTTGATGCCTATATTTTATGCCTTGTAAATATACATTTTCAGTTACTATTAAAAAAGAAAATAGTATATGTTAATTCAGAAATACATACATGCTAACTATGTATTATAAAATTGTTAACAGTTCAGTATCCTGAGTAGCAGACAACAAGTGCACCACAGATAGAAATGCAATAACTATACAATAATATCAATTATGGACATAATAAAAAAAAATATTTAAACTAATTATGAGTAAATATATAGACCTAATAGTTTTCTTAGAATATGTAGCTACATATGGATATCACATCAATATATCTTTTTTTATAAAACAGTTTTTTAAGTTTATAAGCAGAAGGATTTTGAAAACCAATGCCTTTTTCAGGTTTAGTGCTTCATATTTTGATATTGGTACAATGTCTTGTGACATATACTAGTGTCAAAAGTTGTGAATGTCTGTGTGAGTTATAGTGCAGATTTAGGTAAGTCTGGTTTAAATTCTAGCTAATCTAGCCTTGGATCCTACTCTATAGCATGAACTGGTGAAAGATGTTATATACAGTATCATGGGATAGTTGTATCCAACATTACCCTAGGAGTGAAACTGTTTTGCAATTGTCACATCATCACTGACATACATTAGAAATTCTTTTGGATTTCTGCAATTCATTGGTTGATTGGTCACCCACAGAGCGAGTTCATATACTCTAACAGTGGTAGTGGCATTTTTAGACTGATTTGTTTCGAGTCTGGAGAAGCTAAGATTTTTGTTGTAGTGTTGTAATTTTTCACCCTTCTTCGATTGAGTTTTGCAAGTCATGTATTTTCACTTTAGTTTCCTTACTACAGTAATTCATTCTACTTTAGAAAGAGAGTTTTTATTTACAGTAAAGAAAACTTTCTATTGTCATTAGTTTAAAAGTTCCCCTTGTTTAAGTTTAACAGTACTGGTATTCATTATGGCCTGCTTTTGTTTTTGTTATATTTATCAATAAAGTGTTTATTTTTGTTTTTTGTTACATGGAATTTTGTCTCATATTTTCTTAAACCAGCAACAAATAGCTACAATACTACATGCTAATATTCAAATCCCCTGTAACAGGGTTTCTTCTTATTTTGAGTTCTACAATACCCACACAAGTAAGGAGGACATTTATGTTGTTCATAAGAATTATATTGCTGTATGGTTAATGTTCGTCAAAAGGTTTTAGAATAAAAAATCACATCATTCAATTTATATGTATTCTACAGTTTTATAAGAATCCTTCAAAAATGTTCATAGAGATTTTTTCATATATAGCTTAGTAATGAATAATTATTTCTATTTTAATATAATATATATAATTACAAAATTTTGCTTAACATTTTTATTTTCTGTTACTAATAATCAGTTTCTTAATATATTTTTTCTTTTTAAAATGTCTGTTATTTTAATCCTCAAATGGCAATATTAATGGAATTCTTGTTAAATTTTTTGTGCGATATGTTATTAGGGACCCTATAACCAACAAAGTCATGGAATCACAAGCAATTTGATGCATAAATAATTTAGAAAATGTATTTAAAGAACAAACACTTAGAAGAGAAGTAAGGCAAGAAGGAGAAGAGGGGGAAATGACAACAAGGTAAGTGAAAAGAAAAGGATCAATAGGAAATGTGTTCAGATAGTATTTTCGAATGTCTTTAGCCATAGAACGAAAAGAGCAACCACTTGAAACCTGTTGGTTGAGAAAAATGTGGTAATGATGCAATAAATAAAGCTAGAGGAGAAACGATCATATGGTAGAGACATGAAAATATTTTTCAAACCACTGACAGTGGATGAAAATGCCAAAAGAAGAATTCTTATCTCTGTAGATGCCAAGGCTGAGTGCAGCCAACTACCTGTTCTTGGAAACATAATGGGATGGAAACTCTGACATCAGTTTGAAATTTGCTAGCATGGAATGTATTCTGGTTAACTTGCATGTCCAGTGTGACATTATTTTAGAAGAAAAGAAATGAACTAGTCTCTTGAATTCTGTCATGAATATAGAATAAAGAGTCATCACCAGAGGTGACGTTAATGCCCACATCTTTACCTACTGGACACTGACTTAAATATGAATGGAAGATTGTTGGAGAAAGCAGTGCAAAACATCAGTTTTATTTAGCCAATAACAATGCCCCAAAAAAAAATAGCAGAGAAAGAATGAAACTTTGATTTTGCAATAGACATTACCCTTGTTACACCCGCTGTACTCTGAGTTGTAATGGAAGATATTGCCTTTTATAGACAGTAACCACAAGCCAATACTCGTGCAAGAAAGAGCCATCTTTCATTATCAAAAACGACCCAAAGCCATCATTAGTAAATGTAGAAGGTGGTGAGAAATGAACAAACGAGTCAGAAAAGTAAATGTAGTCACAATAAACCCAAATGGAAGGAAAAAGAAGTAGCGCAAATCTGGATAGAAAAGATTGAAGCCAGTAAAGCTTACATCATATAACAAAGTGTGTAATAGTGGAGAAAGTTAGATTAAGCAGAACAGAACAGATTTCAATAAAGCTAACTCAGAATTCCAGCAAAAAGTAGAGAGCTGTCAATGGTACTGGATGAATTGGAGAGAATTCTTTATGGAAGAAAGAAGGATGTTGCACCAGGCGAAGATGTGTAAGACTCAAAAATTAAAACTCTTCAAAAAAGAGAAAGCAGAGCTAGTTGAAATTATAAATTTGTCAGTACTGAAGGGGAAAATATAAAAGGATATCAGCCTGTGCAATGACCATTACACACTGAATGGATATAGACTAATAGCTATATCAAATGTATGGGTAAAAATCGTGGAAAAGTTGACAGCAAATAGACTCATCTGAGATGTCTACCTACTAAAGTTGGAGAAGCAAAACCAAAAAGATCTGCAATCTAAAATTTTGAGGCTGTTGGGCACATCATCCAGCAGTGAATGCAGACATCATAACACTGTGCTGTTGGAGGTTTGATGCTGAAGGTGCCTAAAATTGAGTGGATGGTGGTTCTGGGAGTTTTAGACATTCTTATATATTGGCTATGTTGGACACCAGGCACTTTCAGTTAAAATTTGGCAAATGAAGATCTGTACTTTTCGAAATCAACTCTGGCTTGCTACGAGGATACACATCAAGTCTTATCATCTTCAGTGTATACATAGCTGATCTGGTCAACACAGTGAAAAACATCTGAGTGATACCATATACGTATGTTGACAACATAATTGTTGCAAGCATCTCACACTTACCAATGGAAGTGGTGGAAACTGTGCAAGAAGCCGTAAGAACTCTGTCACTTCTTTGGGTGTTGTGAAGATCTACAGATTGACAATGTCTGTACATTTTGCGTGCACATCTGAGAGAGAAATCAGTGAAAAGTCTTAAACCACGTGGTGTTTTCGTGATTTTGGTGGCGTGTTGGACCGTTTTCCCATTTTACTCGCTGTACAAAGCAGTAAAGTTTGATAAAAAAAATTGCAACGTCTTCTGTGAATTATTTAACGTGTTTTTTTTATTTCTTTGTTCAAGGATCATGAACATTGATAATATGTGAGGACACTAAAATAGATGTACTTATAAAAATTTTTCCTTTAATTTTTAAATTCGATTTTGTTAGGTTTTATTAAAAGTTATTTTTCTGTTCCAGATGAAAAAATCTGGAATAACTCTGTCATTAAATTTAATGATATTAAGATTTAATTCTGATAATTATGAATAATTAACTGTGCAATCTTTCTAGTTTAATGTAATTGTGTGAGATAAATTTTATCTTAATTAACAAAATAGTTTTGGTTTGTAAATAACATCTTGACTGTTTATGAGCTCTGAGGTAACTCGTTTCTTTCAATTCAAAGTCTATGCATTTATTTTGAGATAAACTGCACCAAACCATTTATATTTCCGAAAAGGAAAAAAGTATGCTGGTTCTTAATGTAATCCATAAGCCATTAGATTCTCCGGAAAATACATACGTTATCAACTGAAATAAATTGTATATGGATTGAAAGTGAAATGTAAAACATGTAGCATTATTGCTTCATATTCAATACTTATATAAAAGTCTACGATTACTGTGATGAGTAAAAGACAAGCACCATTATGCACAGATCTGTACTTAAAAGGCCTAGATTTGTTTTTGTTTTGTACTTGTGATCCAGACAATAAACTGGATCCAACTCGCAACTGATGACTAGAATTAAAGAATGAGATGAGAGTTTACACTTCTCTTTTGCCGACACGTACAATTTTATGAGGAGACAAAAAAAAAAACATCTTGAAATTAATGTCTGTGTCATTTTACGAAACAATAAAAGTTTCGAGTTTTAGATGTGTAAATAATTTATTGAACATTTTTTGTTAACTATTAAAGTAAAGGAAAATACACCTGCAACTAATTAGGCAAATCAAGTTTTCATTACAGAATAATACTTATTTGGTATTGGATAAACATTATTATTATTATAAGGAGACAGTAAACCAATAACATAAGGTCATAATGGGAAAAAGGGAAATATGACTACAAGCGAAATGAACAATACATATTTTGTTACTTATGCCACACAGGAGAATTATATGTCTTCTACAAGATACACTGTGTTTTCTAACTAGTGGTCAAAACTTGGCAGCCAAGTGAAGCCCAGTCGACGTCGTTCAGGATTTTATTTACCAAAGAATCGGGCGAAGCGCACGTAGTAGTATCTATATCATATACGTCAACGTAATCAGTGTTCGACAGCCACACTATACTGCAGTTGCAGACCCACGGATTTCCTAGAGAATTAAAAAATAGAAGTCTTAAGGCATTAGAAAGTAAAACGGTTCACACTGTTAATCCAATTTACCTGCAGTTACTGAAGTGTTATTTAATTTTTGTTTAAAGATATATAGTTGAAATAAACGACTTTATTTTTTCGAAATACTGAATCCACAGTCACATGTGCACGGTCATTGTCTTAAACAGTGACAAAACAATTATTGACAGTGTATTATTTAACATTGAGTACGGGAAATTTAAACTTTTAGGAAATTCATAAAGTACCGATCATAATTCTGGGTCCAATTTTTCAGGGAAGAATGCGAAACAAAAGTGTTATAATTCTCTAACTATATGACTACAGTGATCAGTCATGGACATTACCACAGAATCCACCAAAGTTCTCTTAGGTTAGCTTCTCTCCTGCAACATTACTTTTAAATTGGTCCCACAAATTTCCAATTGCATTAGTTTCGGGTATTTGGCCATTTGTAGTTTTCATATTGCCAACTTCTTTCTACTCTTCTATGTACCAGTCAATAGTGGTACATTGAGAATTGCCTGACTAACCAATGGGCTATGATGCTGCTTTTTAACACACTATTTTTTATTGTTTCTTCTTTTTTTCTGTCTCCCAGTGGGACAGCAGTAAGCTTACGGGTACATGACGCTAAAATACGGGGTTCGATTCCCCGCGGTTTACTGAGCAGGTAGCCCAATATGGTTTTGTGCTAAAAAACTTTCTTTCTTTTTCAAGACACTTTTCAATCGACCGCCATTTCTCGGCAGATTGACTTGAAACTTGGTAGGACTATACACTGGTATAATACGCCCAGATACTTTTTTCACTTTTTTGATTTAGGCCTTTATAAAGAAATGTGTGGGGTGAAAGGTGAAACAACCCGAAAATGCATATTTTGAGCTCCTGTACCGTCGCACAAATATAAATTTATAGGGGACTAGAGCACAGAAAAAATACATATTTTTGTTTTTTTTTTAGTTTTACTCGTTCTTATTTTGACCAGTTTATACGGGATTTGACACATTGATACTTTTTTATAGGTCTCGCACATTGACAAACAAAAATGGCGGACTTGTCCATATTTCGTAATTATTAGGGGGGTTTAAATACTATAAAAAGCATGTTTTTAGAGTTTTCAACAGTACTCCACAGTATTTAGGCCAATTTCCGTGGGGTACTTTTTTACAGGTTTCAATACATACGCATACAAAAAGGTGGGATATGCTTATGTTAGGGGGGGGGGGGTAAAAAGTTTAGGAGTTTTGTTCAATTAATTACCCTTTTGACTAATTTACATGAAATTTAGTACAAATATACTTTTCTACAAACAGTGATATAGCCAGTTTTCCATCTTTCTGTGTTTTTCGCGATTTTTCTAGTGTCAAAATTGAACATGTTGGTATTGTGTGGCGGAGACATGTTGCATTCGCTCGTGAATACTGGTCTCTTTAATTTCGTATTAAAACAGCATGGAAACATCCTTACATCATTATAGACCTACTACAACATTTCATTCCTTTACTTACACAAATTGTGATGCTGCTTCTTCTTCAGAATATCGTAAATTGTGACATATTTCCTACTTCTGTAAATATCGTTACAGACTTAGTACCGTGTTTACTGTTCTCTAACTTCTCATGGTTTTGTCTCTGCACAAAATTGGCCGGGCATGACCTAATGACTAATGTGCTCGAATGGTAAATTTTAAGGTTCGGTTTTCACGGATCGTTGCTCCAAAGACTCCTCATTTTGAGACAGTGAGTGACCTATAAGATTGATGGTCAAATCCCACTATCTGGTCAGATAAAAGTAGCCAAAGGGTTAGCGATGGAGGCAATTAACTAGCTGCCTTCCTTCTAGTCGCGCAGATGGCCGTCGAGTAGTTTTGCACGGAATTCAAAACAAACAAATTCCTTCTAGTCTATCAGCTCACAGAACCTGAACATCACTGGTCCATTTTGAACAGAATAATAAGATTGGCTGCCACACACATAGATGAAAGTACTGTACTTGTTTAGTTTCATCGCGGCGAGAATTGTGGATCTTCTGACCCGTGACTCAGCACGCTAACCGCTCGGCTTCGTCAGGTGCTTATTACGAGCACCAATATGTTCTTTAACGTATACTATTATTGATTACAAAATTACTGAAAGTTCCTGCTAGTTCGTCATATCTTCTCATTTGTTTCTCATTAAATATTTAATTTTCTTTAGATCACTACCCCAAAATAGATATTTTTTTAAATAAGATCTCTCCACACAATTATAAATGGTATTCTATGATATCATACCATTTCTGAGTATTCACGAGATTTTTTCTTCAAATATTAAATAGAAGTCTGTGTTGACAGATAATCTCTAATTATTTACCAGACACAGAAAGTTAGTTTTAAGATAGCTGAATCTACTAATAGTAATAATCTACTAATAATAAGGATAACTACCTTCAACTTTAACTTCCAAAGGTGACACGTTTTGGGCGAATTCTGGAAACAATGATAAAGATAAGGTCTCAAGTTTGTTGTACGTGAGATCCAAAAGGATTAACTTATTCATGCCTTTAAAAATATCTTCAGGAAGGCTTTTCAGTTCGTTGCCCCTAGAAAAACAAAAGAAATAAAACATGTGTATGTTTGAACACACAGAGTCGACTACGACACTGTGATTTAAAATTTAATACAAGTTCCTTTTTTTTTTCAACAAATATATCTAAGAATTACAATTTCTTAAAGATTATGATTCACTTTGAAGGTTACATGCTTTATTGCACAAAAATGTAACTCGCGTTTTTTCGATTCTTTGTTTGTTTATTGAATTTTACACAAATACATCATTAATTTTAAGTAATAGACTAGGGGAAAGCAGGTAGTCAATACCACCCGCGGCCAGCTCTTGGACTACTCTTTATTAACGAATAAAGAGATTAACCGTAACATTATAACACTCCAACAGCTGAAAGGGCGAGCATGTTTGGTGAAGGGAGGGCCTGTGGTTATGGTGCTCAACTAGCAATCTAAGGTTCGAGTCACCGAATCTGCTTGTCCTTTCAGCCATAGGCATTATAATGTGAAGGTCAATCCCACTATTCATTGGTAAAAGAGTAGCCCAAGCGTTGGCTGTCGGTGGTGTTGACTAGCTACCTTCCCTCTAATCCAGAGGTCACCAAACTTTTTTCACAGCGGGCCAGATAACTGAG